GTGATACAATATATAGTATTTATTAAAGCTAAAATATAATTCTATATAAAGAATCAATAAAGAAAAACCAAAACCTATCTGAAAAGAAAAGAGTAGTAGTTAATGTGTTTGAGAAATCAAAATCAATTAGTACAATATATAGTATTTACCAAGGCTGAAAACATAATTTTATATGAAGAATTGATGAAAAAAACCAAATCTAATTAGAAAGAAAAAAGTGATAGTTAATATGTTTAAGAAATCAAAATTAATTAGTACAATATATAGTATTTACCAAGAATGAAAATATAATTCTATATGAAGAATTGATGAAGAAAAACTAAAACCTATTTAGAAAGAGAAGAGTGATAGTTAATGTGTTTAAGAAATCAAAATCAAGTGATACAATATATAGTATTTACCAAGACTGAAAACATAATTCTATATAAAGAATTAACAAAAAGAAACCAAAACCCACCTAGTAGTAGTTAATGTGTTTAAAAAACTGAAAACAATTGTATAATATATAGTATTTACTAAAGCTAAAAATATAATTAAATAACAAAGAAAAAGAAAAAAAAGGTAATAGTAAAATTTTTAAAAAATTAAAATTAATTTTTTTTTTTTTTATTAAATATAATGTTATAGTAAAAACTTTGTTATAGTAAACTCAAATTAATCTAGAGATTAATAGTCTTCTTGTTATTAAAAAGACTTGAATAATAAGACAGATAAGTTATTTAACTAGACTATCAAATTTTTTCAACTTAGAACTAGCTAATAACAGAAAGGTATAGTTTTAGAAATAATTTTTATATAAAGATTTCTAATTACACTTATGCCTACTTTAATTTTCAGTTTTAGCCTTTTTCATCATTAGGTGTACCTATACTTTATTTATAACAAAGTTGAAACCATACTATCCACTTGAATTTTTGGTTTTAGCCAATTCAAAAACCTTTTTTGTCTTTGGGTTTACTTATACCCTCTTGAGTTACTGGCTTTAGCAGATTCAAATACTACTCAGATGCCCTTTTTTCATCATCAGGTATGCCTATACTCCATTATAATAGAATCGAAACTGCATTGCCCATTTAAATTAATAAGTGTGCCTATACTTTATTCATAGCAAAGTCAAGATTATATTCCACTTGAATTGCTGCAACTTTAGCAGATTTCAAATAGTATTGAAATTTTGATCTGACACAAATATAAATTTGACAACATATCTAAAAAATATATAAAAAAAATTGATTGGATAGTGTAATTAAAATCACCACCTTAGAGATTTCAAATACCAATCAAATACTTTTTTATCATCTTGGGCTTTATTCGTAATAGAATCAGGATTAATTCCAAATACTACTCAAATTCAAAGCAGAATTCAAATCTGCTTCAACAGATTCAAATACTATTTAAATGCCTTTTTGTTATTATTGTGTGCATATACTCAAATGCCTTCCTTTTATTAATAAATTTGTCTATGCTTTATTTATAGCAGAGTTAGATTATATTATTGCTTGAATTGCTTTCAGATACCACTCAAATGTCTGTTTTCCTTTATCTATATTTTTTTTACAAGACTTGTCCTTGAGAATCACCACTTTCAAATACCACTTGAATGCCTTTTTTCTTGGCTGCATCCATGCCTTTGTTTTAGCAAAATCTAGTATTTTATTATTGAGAATTACTACCTTCGCCATATTCAAATACAACTTAAGAGCTCTACTCCAGAAAAACAAGCGTGTTAGCACAAAAAAAAAAAAATACAATAATACTTATCTGATATCTTGTCCAATTTGGTATCATCTCTTGATACTATGGTTAACATGCTAGTATTGTTCTTTTTTTATGTTGGTTGGTAGAAAAAGCAACTTTGGATTAACAATTTTTTTTTTTCTTTTACAAACTACACATACTATATAATTTCTACACATTCTTCCTAAATGCATTTTCATACTGTACTACTTTACTATATGCCTGTGGTTGGTTGTAAAAAAATTTGAATACTATACTTTACAGACTATAGTTATAATATTGTAGAAAAAATTTTAAGACTAAGAAGAACTTGTAGTCGATAATAAGAGATTTAGATAGGTTGTACTGGGTTATTGCTGATTTTGATAGAGTTAAAGTTAGTTTTGTTTTAGATTTATCACGATTATGCAATAATTTACTGTAAAATATTCAATTACACTTACAGATACCAAGTTTTAAGATCAGAAAGAATTTGTGGCTACTGTAAGTGATTTCGATAGAGTTAAAGTTAGCTTTGTTTTGGGCTTATTATGAATTGTATAGTGATTTACTGTAAAAAGTTCAATTATCTCCTGATATCTTCATTAAAGTTAATTGTACAACCCAAGTTGAGTTTAGCTTTTTGAAATTCGAGTAGAAGAATCAACTCTAAATTCTAAATTGTTGTAAAACTTTCTTGTTGCTGAGGTCTTATATTCATATTTCTAAATATTAGTAAGAGTAAGAGAAAAAAAGATTCAATTAGTAATCCAAACCCTTTTATACCAAATAACAATTGATTAAACTTCAATCAATGTTATTGTTACTTCATGATTTGATTTACAGCTACATGACTTACATAATGATTATCAAGAACCTTAACAATTGAAACTGAATATTAAATCTTAAACTTAAAGAGAAGAATTAACTTTAGCTTTCAACTAAAGCCTACAACCAAGCAATAAAGGTATAATTCAAGATCATACTAATCCTAATCTCTAGCATCACCACAGTAAGACTTGAAAGACCTTGAGACTAGATCAAGTCTCCTAACGCCTCTTTCACCTACCAATTCAAGATTTTGGATTGTAGTTTGGTTGTTTTAGTATTGAAGTTTATTTAACTTTAGTATTTAACTGATTAGTCACTCTTCTTCAATATGCTGTACATAATTTAACTTGATACATATATAAATTTTTCAAATGTAATTGCTTTAATAGAGCTATGTGCAAATAGAACCAATAAATAAATTATTTATTAGGCCAATAAACATAATCTATTGGCCAACCATGTTGGACTATGACAAGGTCATATTACTAGGTTCAATTAGTAAAATCATATGATATCAACCTGTTATAGCTTTGTTATAGTCCAATACTGCTTCAATAGAACCCAAAGATACTGCAAGTGGTGCCAATAGAGCTCTGAATGGAAACAATAGATACTAGTTTTTTGAGCTCCATTCACGACATGAATAGAACTCAAAAAACTAGTCGATTAACATTTTTTTAAAGCCTATTGTCTCAATATATATCATAATTTTGCATAATAAAGTGTATATTTGGATAAATATAAATTAACAATTATGAAAATATCTTCTTATATTGGACAATCAGCCTTAAACTCAAAATAGCACACATGCACATACTTGAAATAATATCTCTATACTCAAATAATATATAAATAGGCATTATTATGCAAAAATACAGTACTTAATATGCATATATGTATTTCTGAAACTGGCTTTGGATAGGCTTCATTTGAATATGAACTGGTGTATATAATTAACACTAATAGAGATTAATTGATTCTCTAGACAGTATTAATAATATGTATCAATTATATATATATGTATAAGAAGACTCAATCAGATTATATTTTCTTTAACTTTTTCGATATATATATATATCTTCAACAAACTTGTAAATTTAAATCCCAAAAATAAAATAAAATAAAAATGCCAAAGGCAAATAATCACACAAGACAATCTTGACAAGCTGCTGCCATAAAATGAAAAAATAAATCATCCATTAAATTAACCAATACAGCTTCCAACAAAAGTTACGAACCTATAGCACTTAATTTCATTAACAAAAATTAGCCTACAGTATCAAAGCTTGCTTCTTCATCGAATAAAACTTTTAACAATAGTATTAATGTTAATAATTCTATATTAACATCACTAGATGCACAATTGAAAACAAAAACTGTCAACATAAATCTCAATACAACAAGACAATTTCTTTATCTTGTGAATTAAAGATGGAGGCAAGTGAATTTTTGGTCAAGAGTTTGGGTAAAGGCCCATGGCATGCTCAGCACATTCGTACCTGAGCAAATCAATAGAAGAATAACAAAGAGTTAATGAAGTCAAAACGTGGTCAACATATTAAAACAAAATCTTTAATACATAATATAAGTTTTAAACATCAAATAAATCAGTATTTGGAGAAGAATAAATTTAAATTATCTATTTCAAATTTTATGAGTTGTATTAGTCATATTATGCCCACTTTTGAAGTTATAAGTAAACATATTAGCAGGTTAACTGCATGTAGATAGCTAAAATTGCTTGGATAGAGATACTAAACTCATACAAAAAAGATTTATTTTGATGGTCACAAATATGAAGATGTGGTAGAGTATAGAAATGATTTTTTGCAGGAAATGGCAGGTTATAAAAACAAATAGCCAGATATAAAGGTGAAAAATTAAACTATATCCTGCCAAAACTTTGTTCTGGTAAGGTTGAAATTGTTTCTGTTACCCAAGATGAGACCACTCTTTATGCAAATAATAGTATAAACTAATATTGGAGCCCGAAGAGTAAATATGGCATATGGAAAAAATTACTAGTAAGAATCAGAATTAACAAATATTTTTAGTCAGCTAATCAGCCAACTAAAATTTTTAATTATTAACTAAAATATTATCAATTAGCCATAATCTTTGATCACTATACCAATGTCAGTAGGATTAATGAATAATATCCTGACCTATATGTAAATAAGCAGAATCTTTGTTTTCACTAATCTACAATAAACCAGGGTATTATTATTTCTAATATTTTAGTAAGTTGGCTAAAAACATTTTTTTGACTAATTTTTGATTCTTATCTTTAATCACAGTATTCATATTAGTGATTTTGTCTGTAAATCTATCAGGCATCTCAAGCTTTTAGACTATGAAATTGCTATAAATAACTTACTTCCTAATTATATACATCTTAAATATATCGAACAGGTGTTGCTATCTATCTAGGCATAAATCGAGATAGTTGGTGAATGTGTAATGATTTAGTTAATCAGGTAGTTAAATATGCAATACCAATATTTGAACAAACACATCCTAACAAGATAGCTCTATTTATGTTTGATAATAGTAACAATTATGGTTTATTTGCTAAAGATGCTCTTTTGGTCTCGCAAATGAATATAAAAGATGGTATAAAAAAACTACTTCTTCGTGATAGTACAAAGCCTGATAGTTTCAAGCATATAATAACCTATAAAGACAGTGCTAATGTAACAAGGCTTAAGGAAATTAAATAGGTTCTTGATAAAAGAGGTTTATGGATACCAGGCTTTATAAAAAAGTGTAATATATATAAAAAAAATAGGCCTAATCTAAACAACCCAAACTGTTGCACTTCGTGTATTCTTTCAGCTCAACCCAACTTTGCAGCTCAAAAGTTATACATAAAAGAGGTAAATAAGTTTTTTTTTTTAAAAAAAAAAAGAAAAATTATTTAAAAACTATTACTTATATACATATAAATAATTTATATAATTGAAGATGCTGGCCACATATACATCTTTTATCCTAAGTTCTATTGTAAACTTAATTATATTGAGTTCATTTGGGCTGAGGTAAAATGTTATACAAGACTTCACTGTGATTATAGTTTTAAAGGCCTCAAAAAAACTATTTCAAAGGCATTATATTTGGTTGGTTTATTGAAAATTTGCCACTTTGCTCGCTGTTTTGAATGTTTTATAAGTGCTTATGAGCTTGAACTTTCTAAAAAAGCTGCTAACTTTGCAGTAAAGAAGTATTGTTCTCATCATCGAACTCCAGAACAAGTTTTTGAAGAATTCGCTTATGATTAAGATATTTTATATAAACATTAGATATCGAAGTATATATGAGGACTCTCATAGCAAAAGGGTGCATTAGGACAAAAATTTTAATTTTGTAATTTTATAAAAATTGTAATCCTATTAGTTTAATTCTTCAAGAAATCAATTAAAATAAAAAAAAATTTTTTGGCCCAATGCACCCTTTTGCTGTAGAAGGTTTCAAATGTCTTTTTATTAGTCAAAGTTATTTATATATTAGTTGTTATAGCTATATGTTTAAAAACTTCCTGCAATTTTTTTTGAAGCTATTTATGCTTTCTTTCAGAATTGTTTATAATATGTTGTTTTATAAAGTTAGTAGAAGATATTAAAAAAAACTTATTTATATTTATTTTACAATAATATTAATATATTAAATATATTATTTAATTGGTCTAGAGCATAGCAAAGAACTCTAGTATTTATATAAAATAATACAAAAGTTACATTTTTAATGTATTTAGCTTCCAAGATTTATCTTTTTAATGTAGCTACTAGTATTACAAATCGGATTAAAAAATGTAATCGATTAGTTGGTTAAAAATTTTTTAAAAATCGATTAAAAATTGATTATAGTTAACCAATTGAATAATTAATAAGTTAATTAATTGATTAATTGACCAATCAACTAGTTGGTATATTGAAATAGCTTGGTTATAATTGTATAGATATTAATTTTTTTTTTTTGGTGTTAAAGATGACCTCTTTGGTCATAACTTTTTATTAGAAATTAAGTTTCAATTATAATACCAGTACAACTAGCCACATGTACAACTTTTGGTTATCTATTTAAGTAGTTTACTTATTTTTGGGTTCTACACTAGCTGCTATACCTGCAATTTAACTAGAAGATTACTTATTTAAACTCTCTGGTTCTTACAAACAAGGATATGACTAGCCATATATACAACTTTTGGTTGCCTATTTAAGTAGTCTGCTTTAGGTTCTATACTAGCTACCATACCTGCAACCCAACTAGAGGGTTATCTATTTAAACTCTCTGATCATAACCTAATTCTATCTGGTAGGATCTTCTAACTTGGTTACCCAAATTTCATTTGTACTTTAGGACTTACCAACTTGGTCTATCCTTGAGATAAACCCATCAGAGCCTTCCATATCCTATTTTTGGCTAATCCAGTACTGTAGTTGCTGAGGCTTCCACTTGCAGTTAGGGCTATCACATTTAATTGCTGCATCTTTATAAGGTTCACTTCAACCCCGGCACCTCTATTTGGACTTTCTTTTTCTTCAGATTCTTAATCAGTTTCTCTCTTACTTCTAGCCGGCAACCCAGAAGGGTTGGTCTCCCTAGGCATTAGGTGCTCTACGAGTATTCTCTCTTTGGAATATGCTTCCAAAGCACATGTCCTTTTTTTCTGGTTTTGGTGACCCAGCGGTTCGGCTAGTGTGTCCTCTTACTTAAAGACCTGGTTACTTGGTTCTCTGGTCTTGGTCTTCAGTTCTAAGTTCGGTATTCTTGTAGTACCATCAAAAGTTTCTATTACCTTCTTACTTTGGACTTCTCAAATGGGTTTCAATCATCACAGTTTCTTGGCCTTTTATACTTCGAAGCTCCCATGTAAACATGGTATTATCAAAATTACAGGTTCTGAGACCCAACTGATCGACCATGTCCTCACCATATCACAGGCTTATTTTTTCAAAAACATCATTCATGGGATTCAAACTTTGAACTTGCTACTTGGTAGGGTAATGACTAGACCACTTTACTAAGCCACCACACCTGCATAGATATTAATTTTTTTTTTCAGTATTAAGGTAATCTCTATAGCTGGGGGCTTTTTATTAGATAATTAACAATGTTTACAATTACGATAAGGGTACAACTAGCTATATGTACAACTTTTGATTATCTATTTAAATAGTCCACCTGAGTTCTACACTAGCCACCATATACAATCTAACTAGAAGAT